ACAATAGCCAAGACAGGGAAGCAACCCAAGTACTCATCAACAGATGAATAGATAAAGAATATGTGGTATATACATACAATGGAATACTACTCAGTTATATGTAGAAAATGCATATAAAAACTAGAAGGAAATATATTTCTAAATAAGAGTTATTTTAATGCATATGTGCTATTCACCTGTTTTTATTGCCATGATCCAAAATTAGTCTTGAAAGACAATTGGCATGACATTACTTTCATGAAGGATGGCATGGATGGTCAGTTATTCCAAAAGCCAAACTTTGTTTTTATTAAGTATCCTCCAACATTTTACTGGATTAAACTAACAGCCGTATTGAGAATATTAGTTCATGTAGTTATCTGCAAGCACATATTGCAACAAGTTTATCCTGCAGGGCTCACCAGGAAGTTTTACTCCTCCTAGTGAGTATTGTAAGAGTGCTTTCCTGAGACTTTGTTTGTTAATGACTGAGGCCATTGTTTGATAACATCTATTTTATATTTTTTCCAGGATGAAATCTTGACAATCAATAGGAGCCAAATTAGGGTACATCTTGTGTAGGTGTGTACATCTGTGGATCTGTTCCATAATACTTATATGAGGAGGTAGCAACTATCTAAAGATAGTTTTATGAACCAACTTAATCATATTTCCAGGCCAACTCATCACAGTTTTCTTCTTTTTCTTAATATCCTCTATTTACTCTTCTCCTCTATTATCCAAAGGCAAAACTGTGGAATGTCAGATTTGAATTCTGGCTCCACCGTTCACTAACAGTATGATCCTAGACAATGTATTTGACCTCTCTGTCCTATAGTTGCCCGATATACGTAATTGTAGATAATGATAAAAACTACCTCCTATGATTCTTGTGAGGCTTCAATGAGATAATCTTGTAAAACTCTTATCAGAGTGCCTAGCACATAGGGACTATTTGATAAATGGTCTTTTTAGTTTTGTTATTTTCCTTTCTGGTTTTCACATCCTCCTCTTTATATCCTTTCCATTCATTCTTGATGCTTATATCAGTGAGTTGGGATGAGGGATATAAGAAGCCAGTCCTATTAAGGTGAATTTTTCCCCAGGCAGGATTTCTGCATTCAGGAAAGCCAGCTCTGGATGAAGGGGGTGTCTCATCAGGGTACTATAGACCCATCATCAAGGCATGGGTAACTGAAATTAGTAGCTAGATAACTCTGTTAACTCAATTTTGTTTTGTTCATTGCTATATACCTAGAGTCTAGAAAAGTGCCTGACAGGTCATAAATATTCAATAAATATTTCTTGAATTAATTAATGTCATGACACATTTTTATACAAAAGCATAACGTAATACCTAGAAAACAGCCTATAGATACTTCATTTCCACTTTAAACTCACAGATAACACCTCAGAAAAAGAGCTGAAATTAACACAAACTTTTAAGCACAAGCTGGATATTTTTATTACTACTATCATAAATTCCAAGTCGATAAACTCTGGCTTTCCCTTCTACCTAGAAAATGCTCTTCTTCTTCTCTTTCTCACCTGGCATCTCTGTCAGGCTCTTTACACAACCCAAGACCTAGGCAGCCATATTTTATTCTCAGCTACTCCCTCTAAGAAAGTATGCTAATTACTGCCTTGCAGGTCACCTTTTCCTCATACACGTCTTCCACTCTGCCTTCCACCTGTCAAGGTAAGACACTTGTCCAATTTCTTCCAGGAAGGACCATCCTGGTCTGTTACTAGGAAAACCCAACCCTTGCCATGACCCTGTGCTGTCCTCCGCCTGACCTCGATCTGCTCTCTGCTTTCACGTGGAAGGAACTCAGTGCTACATTTCTGCAGCAGGGTTCCTTCTTCACATTTATCATTCAGCTGCATTTTACTATCCGCCTCCATTATCTCTTGAAGGGACCTGACCTAGTTTTAGGTTAATCTGTGGTGTTAAACTATCAAACTAAACAGAACAAATTATCTACAGAATTATATGGCAGTTTCCTCCTGCCTCCTCCCTGCTAAGAGATTAAAGCAGGACCCCAAGTCCTGACCCACGCCAGGGTAGAAACTGCTAATCTAGCCCTTAGAAGTCACACTCTAAATAATCCATCCCAGCGCTGCAAGAACAAATCACGGCATACTCACATTTCATCTTGGGGTTCTCTCTGAGCATCAGATATGTATTAACTAAATTAATATTTGCTTAATAAATCATAAAGTATTACATAAATGTTGGTTTTAATTGTGGCTATTCTTATGTCTTTCCAGTCTTTCCCTATCTCTTAAGGAAGAGGTCATTAGATTTGAGTGAAACACTTGGATATGGTCCCTGGTGGACCAGAACATTTCCCTGGAACGAAAACATAGATACAGTTGCTCCAGTTGGCTCCAAGCTACATTTCCTCCCCAGGGAGGTTCTTCTTCAACACCCACAAGGGAAAGAGGCTGTCCTGCTCTAGAAAAGGCAGTAGTGTCCATAGCAGCACATATAGAATAGGGACAACAGTCTTCTGTGGGTACCCTGGGGTAGGGAGAAGCCAATAACATGGAGCCTCCACAGGAGAGAAGCAGAAAATCCACAGAGCTGCCAGCTGGCAGAAGAATTTAGTCCAGGGGTAAGACAACCAGGAGAGGAGTTGACTCCAAGCCCGAAGCAGGTCAGGCCCCCTCTCCACTGAATCTTAGTTTCTAGAGTTCTTCTGGGCTGATACTACTCTCTGCCTATAGAGAGGACGCCCTCCTATCCAACATAAACAAGTTCAGAAGAGAGCTTGCCATATTTTTTAAATGTCTTGTGTTTGTTCCAGGAGGTTCCAATGAATGGGGCCCATATTTGCCAACAAACTTCTGGCGGTTCTAGGAAGAAACTTCATTTCCCCTCCTCTGACCCTGTTCAGTGAGCCTCACCTTATTTTAATACCCAAAAATCATGTTGTAAATAACAATAGTTAGCCCTATAAGAATCACCTCTATAAAACCAGCACAGATAGGTGGGTGTGGGTTTTCCACCACCACCACTCCCTTGGTCATTGCTCTGCCCTCTGAGCTTCTGTGGGCTAACTATAATCCCTCTTCTTCATAAGAAGCCCAATATTTGAAAACAGCCATCATATCCTTCCATTAGTTTTGTCTTTTACATGTTAAACATTTCCACATTCTTCATATGTTCTTTATACTTCACAGTTCCCAAGTCCTAATTCACGATAGTCAACAAAAATCTCAAATCATTTTCACACAAATGGCTACTGAGTCAGGTCTTACCCTTCTTTTCAACTGATTGTTAAAGCCTGCATGCAGATTTTATATGTGCCCCCTGTTAAATTTCATCTTGTTCTTAGGCTAGCATTCCAAAAGACAGGGTTATTTGGAATTATAATTCTGTCACCTATAATATTGGTTTTCCCTCTTTGTTTCATATCATCTGAAGTTTGATGAGCCATGCATATTTGCTGTGTCTACTGAAGTCACTGCTAAAAGAGGTGAAGAAGACAAGATCTACAAAACCTTCTCCTTTTCATTAGACATCTTTCTCCAGACTTTCAGAGAGTCATTGATGAATAATTTTGGTGTATAGTAGCCAAACTAAGAGTATTATCTTTAAGTTCACGGTCATTACCTTTTTTATGAAGCTTTACTGAAATTAATATGTCCTTTTTATACTCCTTTCTCCTGATCTACTAAATTATTAATACTACCAATATAGGACACTATGCAAGTTTTCACATTATCATCAGCATTATATAGCTCCTGATGACGTCTTTTTATGAGACTTTCAAGCGTTCTATAAAACATCTATCTAAGAATTTTACCAGAGTCCAGGTCAAGTTCACTGATTAGCAAGAGCAATCATAACTTTTTTATCATAAGCATTTACTCAGAGTCCAGACTTGAGAAGTTTTGGATCGATTCGCTGGTTGGTTTGGTTAGTATACAAGTTTCTTCCTTTGCTCCATCTGTCTGCTAACACCAGGTCCTATGCTACTCTCAATTCAAGTTTCTCCCTGGCTCTTTAAGAAGTCACTAGTGTGTAGAAGACAAAATATGTTCAAATATATATGAAAGTATTCTATTTGCTCTATGTCTATACTCCACATGTGACCAAATGTGTGTCTGCATGATGTAAGCCCAAAACCAGAGAGAAAAGTAGGACCAGGGAAGGAACACAAAAACCCTGTGTTCTTGCTGCCATCTGCTAATGTGAAATGTCACCTTTCTTAACTCCAAAAATGAGAAAACTCTATCTCAGGTTGGGCTTTCTGGTTTCTTCCTCCTACCATAGACACACACACACACAAACACACACACACACACACACGCACACAAACCCCTCATTGACTTCCATCTCCAACCTTAATCATAGTTCTTTCTCAAACTCTGAGTGACGATATTCCAGTATTACCTCAGTTATGGGAAGACCCAGAGATTCCTTCTCTATTTAGTGATCATTTAAATGCCTCTTACCCTAGCCCATTAATTGTCAGATGTTGCAATTTTTCTATGGCAACTTATTATTGGAAAATTATTGTAACTAATTCACTTATTTATTTATTCATTCATTCCAAAAGTACTTATCAACGTCTTCCTGTGTGCTTGCTGTCAGGGCAGCACTGCAAGAACTAAGAGAAGGAATCCTGTACCAATGTAGAATTTTCTAAAGAACCCACAGTTAGGTGAGATAAGTTGAGCATTTGACTTGTACAGAGAATAAGGGCAGGAGAAACAAGAAAAAGAAAGTATCCCCAGCTTCTGACAAACGATTAGAGACTGGGCAAAGTTTGAAAATGGCTTTACCAACAGTCACCAAGCTGCTTGTCCAAGGAGAAAGAGTGGCTTCCCAGGGGAGTGGGATCTGAGTTAATTCAGATCTTTCTATATTGCATCTCTCATAGAGTAAATGATATAGGATTGCTTATCTGCATTTCCAAGTCTCACTTTCTTGGAAAAGGAAAATAGTCTGAGATGAGCAGCTGCCTGAGAGATATGCATGACCTCAGAGTAGGACCACCCCCGACCAGGTCATGGGCACTCCCCCAACCTTCCAGAAGAGTTTACCAGGTATGGTTCTCCTATTGATGCCCAGCCAGGATTGTCAGGTAAATTGCTCACTGCTAATTGGAAGAGCTCTATGCTGCTCTCTGATTCTGACATTTCTGTTGTTAGGAAAGAATTTGGAAAAGCCCTGTAGGATAGTAGACTATATGCAGGAGCTTTGGAGTCAAGCAAATCTGAGTTCAAATCATGACTCCACCATAATGACCTTGAATAAATGACAAACTCACTGGGTATTAGTTTCTCTTCTATAAACAGGAGACGATAAGGCCTATCTCCAGTGCTTGCTGTGATGAATAAATGAATAAACGGAGCATAATGTGCGGTCATAACAGGATCTTGGTTAATACTAGTTACCTTCCTCTTTTCTCTTGGGCCCAGATCTAGAGGAGGAAGCAGTCCAGTGGTGACAGCGAAAACCAGACCACCTGGCTGATCTTAGTGGGCTTCCGGGAGCTGCAACACTTGGGCTTCCTCCCCTTCATCTTCTTTCTGGCCATCTATGTGGTAACAGTCGGGGGCAATGTCCTCATTGCGCTGGCTGTAGCCTCTAGTCGGACTCTCCACACACCCATGTACTTCTTCCTCTGCCACTTCTCCCTCCTGGAGATTGGCTATACCTCCAACATCGTGCCTCAGCTGTTGTGGAGCTTCCTAGAAGGGAGGGAAGCCATCTCGCTGGTCAGCTGTCTGGTCCAGTTCTATATGTTTGCCTCACTGGCTGCAACTGAGTGCCTCCTGCTCTCCGCCATGTCCTACGACCGTTACTTGGCCATCTGCCACCCCCTTCACTACACTGCCCTGATGAGCACCTGTTTGTGTGGCTGCCTGGCTGCTGGAGCCTGGTTCAGTGGTTTCTCATTCTCCGCCTTCACTCTGACCCTGGCGGCCCCTCTGCCCCTTTGCCCTGGCAGCAGAGAGATTGACCGCTACTTTTGTGACTTTGCTCCAGTTACAGGGCTGTTCTGTGGGGATGTGGCAGCCATGTGGGGAGCTGGAGTGAGCATCTCAGGCTTCCTGACAGTGGCCCCCTTCCTATTGATTGTGGCATCCTATGCCTTCATCCTGAGGACTGTGCCACAAATACCCTCAGGCCATGGTAGAGAGAAGGCCTTCTCTACCTGTTCCTCCCACCTCAGTGTGGTCGGGGTGTTTTATGGCACCCTCATTGTAGTCTGTGTAGCCCCAACAGACCACATGCCCCCCTTGCTCCGAAAGGCCTTCTCTGTCTTCTACACTGTGTTCACCCCTATGGTCAACCCCATCATCTACAGCCTTAAGAACCAACAGGTAAATGGTGCCCTTCATAGGCTCTGGGGAAAGCTCATCCCAAGACATACCCCACCGAGGGAAATGGGACAGCTATTGACTTCTTCCTGGATTCCAGCTTAGCCCCTTCCTCAAAGTCTAAAGGACCAGAGAGCACTGTGATGAAAAGATGGAGTCTGTGGGATTGAAACTTTATCTCTCACAGAATGAAGTAACTTCATTTTTCCAGTTGGAATTGGGCAGGGATCAAAATACATGCTTGATACAGGGCCTAAATACCATAGACACTCCATAAATATTAGTTGAAAAAAATTAATGAATTAATCAATACTGAAAAGAATGCGAGAGGGAACAGAGCATAACATCAAGTGGGGAACATTTGCAGATTATTAATCCAAGGTGACAAGGACTGAGGTTGACAGATAGGGAAAGAGAGATAAGGAGATGGTAATAAGAACCATTAAGAATTAAGATAATATCTCATGGCATGCTTCAAATTAAATCTCAGAAACAGAGAAAGAAAACTCCACAACCTAAAGTCTGTAAAGTAGTGATGTAGGTAGTGGTGGGATATGAGCCACTCTCACTGCATATAGATAGCACTCCTCCTAGGGAAAGGAAGGGTCAGTTAGAGGGGAGGAAAGAACTCTATGCACTCATGCCTGTAGCCCAGGAGCCCAATTAGGCCACTGCTCTGGGTCTTCCCATTAGTCCTCCTATCATTGATGTTGGACCAATAGGTAGTAGGGGAAAGGAAGGAGCCAATTAAATAAAGAAAGAAAAAAATAAATTGAACCCAATGAGAGGATTCTGAAATTTTACCTCTATCAAAGAATCTTCGAAGTCTTTTTAAAATGACACAAAAACATTTCTAATTTTTTTGTTTAATATATCAACAAGTTTCTCAACATGTGATATGTAAACCATCTATACCAGAATAATCTGGAGTTGTTGTTTACAAATGCAGATTTCTAGGCTCCTCACCAGACCTAAAAAATCAGAATCTCTAAAAATGGGGCCCAGGGATCAGCATTTAACAAATACCACAACTGATTCTCAGTGTAGGGAGAGGGCATGGTTTCCAGGGATGAGAGGGATGATAGTAGAAAAATAGAGCAAGAAAAAAGAAAATATAGTTACTCATGGATGTAAAGAGATGTAACCCTGAGTGGTGAGAATAAGATAGTTGTATGAAAAGGGTCAGTGAGAGGATCTGGAAGAAAGTAGAAAATCTGGAATAACAACTGCCCTATCTGGGTGGAATTGGAATATAGAACAAGAAAAAAAGAATATAAAATTTCCCTGTCTGGAATTTTGCTGGGGAAATGGGGAAGATCTAGGCTGTATCAGAGTTTTAAAAATGTCTCTGTGATGTTTTTTATTTGCATTAAAATCAAAAGTGAAATCCTGTGTTGTGTGTGACAATGTCCTGGCGAGAGGACCAGGATAGAGTGAACAGGGAGCACATCAGTTTCCCTGAACAAAGAGCCCAGTGCGCTCCTCAGGATGCAGGACTCTCACCATGCCCAGAGGAGTTTGTTTACTCTCTATATGAGGGGCACTGAGAACAGGTAGGGATATGTAGGGAATGTCCAGGAGGCATTAGAGGTGTGGGTCCCAAGACCTGCACAAAGCATGTGGCTGCCTTTATGGTATTATTTCAAGGGTTTTGAGAAAGCTCCAAGACTTTCCCCTTACCTCACCACCTGAACCCCATAAGCAGTCCTCCGCCTACTCCTAAAGCCAGAAATTCTAATTTAAAGTGTCTTCATTTCAATCATAGGTCAAATGTACATAGTACTGTGGTATAGAGGAAAGAAGCAGACCTATCTATGTTTTGATCCCAGTTCTGCCACATGCTAGCTTAGGATAATTACTTAACCTCTTTGACTCTCAAATTCCTCATCTGTAATATGACAGGAATAATAATAACAATAATAATAATACATACATATATACATCCATACATATTTGTATGCATACTTTACAGGATTTTTGTGAAAATCAAATGAAAGACATATAATAAATTCCTCTATCTCTGTGCTTTTATTGGCCTATGACACACTTTAATAAACATTAGCTCTCCCCTCACCCTACCTCTCCTGAAGGAAAGTCAAGAGACAACCTCGCCCTTTGGTCACAACACCACTGAGGGCCAGCCTTTCCTTGAGTGGAACCCTGATTGCATATAAACATGAGGCACAGCTGCTCTTTCCTATTACCTGGCATAAAAGGACTGAGACAACATTGGGAGGATGACAGACCATAAGAAAACTGGACCTAAGTTGACGAGAAACCCTGGAGGAAAGAGCCAGAGAAGGAAAGTAAAAAGGAGGAATGGGAAGGGAAGGATGAGGAAGGGGAAGAGAGAAGAGGGAAATGGAAATAGAAGCAGCAGCAGGATAATGGAAAGGGGAAAAAAGTAACAAATGGGAAAGATGATAAAGAAAAGTAGTAGAAGAAAAGGAGAAGAGAAGAATTTGGGAAGCCTTTCCCAGATTCCTCCACTTGGACCACACATTTATTTTCCTAATGAAAAGGAAACAGGTGTGTTTTTAATGGATTGTATAAAATTTTTAAGTTATTAATAGGACTTCTGCTCAATATTGCCTTGTAAGTCCATGCTTTGTGATACCCCATTTACAGCAAGCACTTAACAGTAATTGAAAACATGCAAAAAGAGAAAATTTAAAAGGCATGTAATGGTTCAAAAGCAAGACAAATATCTCCACGAGCCACAAATGTAAGAAAATTGTTAATAAAAGCTGTGAGTAGGACTGAAGCTGAGGGCCTGCTGGATTCCGGGCTTAAGCAGTTACAGGCAGCTATGAGTTCAGCTCCTCCAGGTCAACAGAGACTAAAAGTGCTCCATCTACAGCAGGAGATAGAAGCTCCATCTAGAGCCAAAGTCACTTTAGAAATAAGGGACTGGAAACAGGGCCTCTTTTTCATTAAAAAGAAACAACAATAATAGCCTCAAGTAGAGGCTATTATTCTCCCAAACCCAGGTATATCTGGGTCTAGAAGTAACCAATCTCACTCCTGGCACTTTGAGACCATCACCAACTCCACTTTATTTTAAAGTCTCCTATTCCTTTGAGGTTTATATATTTTGGCCACATGCCTATGTCTCCCTTCAGTTACTCTCCCTCCTTCCTTGAGAATGCTGGCACTTGTGTCGTAGAATTTCTCTCCATCCAAAGATCTATTCCTATTCTGAGTTATTCAAACATCCATGAGCGTCCTATCCAAAACCTAGGCTCCGCAACCCGATAAGCATCTCCTCTGCTCTGCTTCAGTCACTCATCCCCATGGCCCCATCCTGTATCTTGCCATCACCCAGAAGTGCATCACCTCTGAAACTATAACCTCAGACATCTGCTTTTCTCACCAACCTCTTATTCTTTCAGTTTATTTGCTCAATTGCTCCCAATACTACTGTTTCAATTCCATTGAGACATTCAGTCCATTGATAGTCACTTCAACTGTATTTCTATGTATTAGCTTCCTTCTGTCTTCACTTCTCTCCTTATCCAGATAAAATTCCACAGTCCAAAATATAAACCACTTTTCCAACATCTTCCATTACCTTGCCTCATTATCTTTCTGTCCACTTGCCTGGAAAAAATCTAACCCCAAATGCATAGTCTCATAGGTGCCTTTAGAGTAAAGATGAACCTCCTTAATATGACTTGGCCCCTGTATGCCTCTAGATATATGCAGACATATTTCTTACCACTCACAGTCTCATATCTATGCTTCAGTCATAATGATTATCTTTCATTTCCTTGAATTCACCAAACTCTCAGGCCTTTTCATATGCTTTTTGCTCTACCTGTAACAATTTCCCATCAACTATGCCCAGCTCTTGCATAAAAAGTGGGCAACAAAGATTTGTTGAGTTAATTTAATCAATGAAAGCACGAGTAGATAGATAGCTGGACCAATTATAAATAAGCTATGCCTACTATTCATCCCATCACATCTCCAAGTCAACATCATTTAATACCCTTTAACATGTACAGGCTTGCCAGTATTTCAAGAAGACCTACAGAGGCTTCCTTTTAGCACTGCCACTATTACTCTTGTGCACTTTCTTAGAAAGTATTGATCTAGTTATAATTCTTCTTTCACAATGTCCATCCATCTATCTGAAACCAAGACCTTATGCTCCAATAATAATAATCAACTTTTTCTAAGTATATATATATCATGTCATTTGTGCTTCACAACAAACTGAGGGAGACATTATTGACACCATCTTATAGTTGAAGAAAACTAGACTCAGAAAGGTAAATTTAAGGCCATTAAGATGATAAGGAGTGAATCCAAGACTCAAAAACTCTGATCTTTTTTATCTCAAAGTCCATGTTCTTTTCATGATTAGCATTGTCATTCTTGGTCAAAAACAAAAGAGAGGAAGAGAAGAAAAGGGAAAGCACATGAACACAGGCATTACTTTTACGCTTGGATAGCGAAAGTAGAAGAAACCAAATTTTTAGAGAACAAAGGAACAGAGAACGTTGGGAGGGAACAGAGAGCCAGAGAAAGATGACTGAGCAAGGACGAATTTGAGATAAGGAATGGATCCCCAGCAAGCCACACCGTGGGTTTCAGCACCAAGGACAGCACACATCCCACGGTTGTTGGGGGTTAGAGCAGAGAGCTTTATCTTCCCTGTTTGCGTTGGGAGAGTGTGAAAAGAGGTGAAGACATCTCCTTTAACCCCGAAAGGAAGTAGACAACAGGGAAGAGGAAGAGACCTGGCATTTTGACAGTGCCTGAGAGAGGAGGATATAAAGGCAAATCTTTGACCTGGCCTTGGACAACACCAACAAACTTTCCCAATCTAACTTCCTTTTTCTCTCCCCCGTGTCACCTGCTCTCTATCTCTTGGGATTCTGTGTGAATCCTTTATTCTTGGCCTAACCCCAGAGAGCCTTTGTTTTGGATAAGCGTTGAGGTTTTTATCAAGAACAAAGCAATGAGGTATCACCTCACTCTGGTCAGAATGTCTATAATTAACAAGAACAAATCATTCCCCCAGGAAGTAAAGGAGCTGAAAAGGATGAGTAACAAGAGACAGAACATCCTATGATCAGGATATGCCCATGTCTGCACTCCATGGTCTTCTAGGACCTCCTGGTAAAACTCCTCACACCATCCTCCCACCAGCAGCATTTCCAACAAAGTCATCAAGTTTCCTAACAAGACAGAATAACCATTGTTCCAGAAAGTAGAGTTCCTGACTGATACATTAACCCCCAAAAGGTACACACCTGGAGTTTGCTCCAAATCATAATGCCTGCACATGAGACAAATCACAAAATTAGTGACCCTAGTTATATGTCCAAAGAGGACTTAGAGAAGAAAGAGCTATGAATCAGAGTCAGGGCAAGGTATAGAAACTAGACACAAAGATTGTAAGAAGTTAGAGTCCTCAAGCTATGCTCAGTGCCAAAAATTCTACCATGAAGAAGGAGGCACTTCAAACAGGTACCAGCTAGATAACTATCCAACTTCTCTGGGGGATAGGCACTAGATCCCCCCAAAAGTGTTTTTATTCTAGTCCTGCCTCCTAACTTAAAGCCCTAGGCTTTGAGATGGAATGGAAATTCACACTGTGATCACACCTCTTAAATATGAGAATAACCTCATCATATCTCTAGAAGGTTAATTAGCTGGTGTTCTGGGCTGAATGTTTGTTTTCCCAAAATTCATATGCTGAAAGTCTAATCCTCAAGGTGATGGTATTTGGAGATGGGGCCTTTGGGAAGTAATTAGGTCATAAGGGTGGAGCTCTTATGATGGGATTAGTGCCCTTATAAGAAGAGACACTCCAGAGCTTTCTCTCTGTCTCTGTCTGTCTGTCTGTCTCTCTCTCTCTTCCTCCCCGCTCCCTTCCTCTCTCCCTCCACCATGTGACCCAGAGAGAAGGTGGCCATTTGAAAACCAGGAAGAGAGCCCTCACCAGGAAGCAATTTGCCTGGCACCTTGATCTTGGACTTCTCAATCTCTAGAACTGTGAGAAAT